GATGACAGTAATCTCATACATGCTCAACAAGTGCGACGTCACCAAAATCATCCTTACAGTGAACGGTCAAAAAACCCTCTTGGCAAGTCTGGTCCTCCACAGAACGTCCGTATTGGGGATTTAGTTTATTTATTTTGTGATCGTGATAAAAACAGGGCACGTGACAAATATATTGTCTCGGGTGTTCAGAACGGCTTTCTACAACTTCATAAGCTGAGGAACTCTCAAATCCGCTCGAAGACATACTCCGTCCATCCTACAGAGGTTTACAAGGTAAATATTTCCCCCACAGCTTGCTCCGTTGCTTCAGATGATAGCGAAGATGATACGGTCATCATTCCTTCTGTATTGACCACACCACTCGACCCGACTGCATCAGCTCAACTACCCGACCGTGGCGAGGCAGAAGCATCAAGCAGTTCGTCAGAATCTGATCTTATCGATGATACCCTGAACATCCAGACCCTGTCAAATACAGCAACAAGTGTTTCTTCTAACATACCAGGATTACCACGAAATCGTACACGCCAGTTGCCTAAAAACTAATAGACTATGTTCTTTATTAAGACTTTTAAGTGTTTTCATGTCTAAAAGTTATTTTTAATTCCATAAATTGTTCTACAAGAAAAGGAAAAAAAGGGTCGCGCCATTATAGTTAATTATATATGTTACAAGTCCCTGTAGGTTACAGGTCCCTTCGTTCATTGTTAGTTCTCGTGATACGAGACATCCGGGTTATCGATTATGTTATTGTAATGGTGGCACGTCAATTAAAGTTATCAACAGTTGTCGCTGTCTGTGTTTGTCCCTGTAGTACTCCCCACTAAACTGTCGATGATCTCTCAAACAAGGGATCACGCGAGGACGTCGGGCGCGAAGGTGACCCCTATGCAGTCGATTCCGAATCGTCTGGCCACTCACTCTCACACCAGTGTCTGTTTGAAGACGAGCGCTGATCTGATTTGCTGTGATGACACGATTTCTCAAGGCCAAGGTACGGATAAATCGATCCTGGGCTTGAGTTGTCGCCCTTGGTCGACCTGAGCGTGGTCTGTCCTGTACAGATTGTGTATCACGGTATCTGGACCATAGCCTGCTTATGACAGACTGAGAAACATTCATCGTCCGCGCCACAACCGCCTGTGTTGTGCCGATCTGTAGCATGCCAAGGGCACGTAACCTTTCATTTTGGGTAAGCCGACGCATATCAAAATTTGTTTTCTGGTCACTAAAACAATTAAACTGATGTTTCCACCCTGGAATTCAATGCCACAATAACTGTAACATTCAAAGTCAGAGTCGTGCAAATCTTGGGTTGGACCCCCATGATGATCCCAAGCATCACCTGCATTCCATGCGGTAGCTATTGGTGCATTTGGGCGTCACATGTAACTGGAAATGTTTCTTCTGTTAGGTTCTATAGTGACTTTTTTCGTAGTCATTTGCATATTTTAGTATTATGCCCCCAAAATCAAATATCCCCTACTTTTTTTGAATAGTATATATATGAAATGAAATGAAATGGGGTTTAACGTCCTACTGTTTTGCTCCTAAACTGGGCTAATGAAGACGAGCATACGCCATACAGTGTGCTATGAGGGAAATTTTGCCCGGGCAGCGGCGCTACGGCCTACTCTTATATTGAATTCCAACTGCCAAGGGATCTTTTACGTGCACGCCAATTTGTACACGAGACCTTGGTTTTTCGTACCATCCGAACGACTAGACAGCTGTCCTTGTCAGGCCCTCCGTCATGGTGGCTATTTGACTAAGACGCTGGTTCGTGGTCTGGAGGTTGCAAGTTCGCGCCCATTGTTGGCAGAGACAGTTCTTTTTGATTTTCCGGCCTGACAAGGACAACTGTCTAGTCATTTGGATGGGACAAAAAAATGTGGTCCTGTGTACCCATTTTGGCGGGCATGTAAAAGATCCCTTGGCAGTTGGAATTTGATATAAGAGTAGGCCATAGCGCTGCTGTGCTGGAAAAATTTCTTCATTAGCCCAGTTGGAGCATAACAGTAGGACATTAAGCCCAATTACATTTCTCTCTTCAACACTACTGACAAGAAGATATTAGGCTGAAAAATTATGAAAAACTGTCTTAGCAAACATTGGTGTTGAACCCAGGCCTGCTTACGTGTAGTTAGTAAACCAGCGTCTAACTCACCGAGCCAAGATGGCTCCATGTCGACTGGCATTACATCTTGTTGTTGGTTTATAACATTACAAAACACAATCCTTTTTTTTAAAATCTAATAAATGTGTTTAAATATACACTTGTTATCCAACCATTGTTAAACCTTGTCTTGTTTTGGCAGGTACACACATTTATGTAACTGTTTTTAGATAAAATGTCTATTAATAGATACTGATACAGATGGAAATGTTCTTTTATTTGAAAATGGTTATTTTAGAAAAATAATATGATTGGGGAAAAACCCATCCTAACATGGGTGTCACACATGGGGGGGGGGGGGCCCGACCCCCCCAATTGTTTTTCTAGGGGGGTCTGAATATATTTGGACCCCCCAAAAAATTTACATCGTAGGCCCAAACTCCTATTTATTTCCAAAAATTATTAGGATTAGTTAAGATTCCATCTGTATAAAACCTGTAGATATCCAAATATGGTTTACATTGCTAAAATAAAACACAGAGAGAATCATCCTGGAAACCTGTGCGAAGTGAAAAGTAACCGTGTGTAGACAGCATGGCCACATGGTGTTTGTTTATAGTTTTTAGGGGTTTTAAAAAAGGGTTAGGGTTGCGCCCCCCCCCCAATATATATTTCACGGGTACGCCTCTGCATCCTAATAAACATTTCCTGGCGTGTAAGAATATTGTTGTTAATTTATAAAAAAACCAACCAAATACCATTGTTGTTAAAGTAGCATAGTAATTGTTGATATTGTTAACATTGTTAAAGTAGTAATACTGTTAATAATTTATCAAAAAACAGCCACATACCATGGTTACCCCTTGTCAGTGATGCAGAATAGAGGGCCTGACAAGGACAGCTGTCTAGTCGTACGGATGGCACGAAAAACTGAGGTCTCGTGTACACATTGGCATGCACGTAAATAATCCCTTGACAGATGGATTTCGATATTAGAGTAGGACATAGTGCTGCTGTCCGGGAAAAATTTCCCTCATAGCACACTGTATGGTGTATGCCCGTCTTCATTAGCCCAGTGGGAGCAGAATAGTAGGACGTTAAACCAAATTTAATTTCATTTGTAATTGGCTGATCTTTTCTGGCTTCAAATCTTATATAAATTATTAATAAGATATTTATTCACAAGCCAAGCCTATAATCCAAATGACTAGACAGCTGTCCTTGTCAGGCCCTCCGTCCTGCACCAATGACAAGGGGGGAACCACGTAATTGGAGAATCTTGATGAACTTTCTCAGCCAATGCAGGGATCAAACACATGACCTCGAGGCTGGCGAGTCAACATCTTACCCACTTAGCCACCATGACTCCCCTGCCAATTCAACTTGCTAATGACAGATTTATCTCTTGTATAATGTAAGAAGTTATTTGGCTTGTATATATATATCGATGTACGGCTGCTTTAAAACCTGCTCTAGATTTATAAATCTGATGCAATACTGTTACGTTAGAAGAGAAAACACTGATTGCAGCAGGTTAGGTTATCATGAATAAATCATACCGAGGCCAAAACATAGCCATTGATTATTTTTATTCTTGGCTTCGTCTGTACCTGTCATAGCTCGTGTTTCAATTACTGGCTGTTCAAGGTCATTGATTTGATAAAGTATATTTTAGCAGACGATTTATTCATTTCCTAATATAGATGTCCAAATGATTGAAGCCAGATGATTTGTTGTTTCTTTAGCCAATGAAATCTTTTACATTACTACATCATTAACTGTTTGTTTGTTTGGGACAGAGAATTAACGATTTGTTTGGCTCCAACAGAAAATAATATAGTTGTTATATCCACAGTATAACAACCTGCTTCCAAATGATCAAATCAATAGAAACAAATATAAACTTTAAATGACTTAAAAATACATTATGGGAGATTAGATAAAGAGCTGACAGTTCTCGCTATAATAGTTAAAAACTAGATAGTGTAAAGGTAATTTGTTAAAAATTTCAGTCAAATTGGTCCACTATGAACCGAGATATCAGCTTTGTAAATTTCTGCCTAGCCTCGTTCATCATTACTAAAGTTAGTACGTTAAAAAGCATAGTCTCGATTATCCATTGTTTTGATTTGATTATCAATGAGCGTTTGCAGCATATAGGATTCTAATCCAGTCGATATCGAAGGCTAGCCTTGACATCGAGAATTGATTATGGTCTGAAAAAAATAATAAATGTCTTATTAATAATATTACATAAGATTTCAGGCCTAAAGAAAGACCTGCAATAGGCAGATTTAGCTCTTGTATAATGTATGTTTAAGTTTGTATAATACCGGTAGATTTTATTGTTAACTAGCTCTAGGAGAATTATAAACCAATCAAACATTTTAATTATTTCTAATAATAACTTTATGGGTTATTTCTCTTGATCAGTCTTATATACGCCCACATGTGGTCGTATATATTTTGGTAAGTGTACCGCATCCACAAAGTCATGGGTATCGTAAAACCATCTTATGTAGCATCTTAGGGTTCATAAGCGTAAAAACTTACTTCCTCAGGAAAAAACACTACACATTTGAAAGGTTAGTTGCTATAAAAGATGGTTTTGTGATACCCATGACTTTGTTTTTAACCCCTCCTACTACTGGTGTCACCGTATCAAGTTTATTATGACTTGGATCCCATCTAAGTTTATGTTATTCAAATGGTTTGGTATTGTTCTCTCTTTATTTTTATTTGGATTCACGTAATGGCTCGTGGACGCTCTAGTTTTCCTGTCTTGTAAATGCCCCCATTACAATTGATGCTGTGGGTATGTTTTGTTCACTGACAACTTATTTTTTTTGTAAGCACTATAATGAACTTTGTTTTCTATTTTTAGCCGTCTGTACGTTTAACCCCAGCAGCCATCTTGTATTCTGGTAAAAGTAATGATGACAGTCATATTTTGGTAAGTAGCCAATTTTACTGATTGTTTGTTACCATGGCAACATAGCAGCATGTTGGTAACCAATAAGTTAACAGTAAATACAAGTAAAAAAACAAAACATTGTATACTTTAAACTACCAACAAAAATAATATACTCAATGAATTTACTACTAGTGTTTTGTTACCATGGCAACAGTTTCTATAATAGATTTACCTAAAAGTACTAGTTGTTATACTGTGATATTTTGTTGTTTGTAAACTGGTTTAATGGTTTGAAGGGAGGTTGGATGGCCGAATGGTTAGCATGTGCTGGCTGTATCATTGAGTCAATTTTGATTCCCAGTTGTACATGACATGGAGTAGGGTCGCCTGTCTAACCTCTGTGTTTTCTCTGGGTCTTCCGGATTCCTCCAACTGCTAAAAACTCCTACGCGCAAGCAAATTATTGAAATAAAATAGAACCATGTGTTAGTCCTAAATGACCTATTTTGTGTGGAGTGGATGTTAAACCCCATTTCTCTCTCTCTCTCTGTCCAGGCAAAATTTTCCTCATTGCACAAAGTATTGGGTATGCCCTCTTCTATAGCCCCGTCGGAGCAGAACATCATTTCATTTATTTCTTTTCTTCACATAATGATAAGCCCAAAAAGGTTAAAAATGAGAAATTTATAATAATTGTTTAATATTTGTGTATTATTTTTTTTATTATTAGAGAAGCGCCCAGTACCTACATAAAGAACTGCCAGTTCGTATAGCACATCGTATTGCCGGATTCCGTGGTTTGCCTTTTATCATTGGATGTAATCCTACTATATTACAAGTTGTAAGTTTATCTCTTGCTTAAAATACACATACAAAATAATATACCATTGGCATGTCGGGGGTGGGGGGGGTTGGATGGCCGAATGGTTAACTCTTGCTGGCTGTATCATAAGGTCTGTAATTGAGTCAACTGGCATGGTTTCAAAACCCCGGTTGTGCGTGAAAAGGATTAGGGTCGCCTGTCCAACCTCGTGGGTTTTCTCCGGGTCCTTTGGTTTCCTCTCACTGCTAAAGGCCCCTACTTGCAAGCGAATTATTGAAATAAAATTAAAACTATATGTTAGTCCTGAAATGAACTAGTTTGTATCAAGTGGACATTAAACCCCATGTGTGTATTTTTAAATCATAAGGTCTGTAATTAAGCAGCTGGCGTGGTTTCGCTTCCCCAGTTGTACGTGACAAAGATTGGGTTTTCTCCGGGTCCTCCAGTTTCCTCCCACTGCTAAATACCCCTACACACAAGCGAATTATTGAAATGAAATTGAACCATATGTTAGTCCCAAAATGACCTAATTTAGTGTTGAGTGCACTACTAGCTGGATTGTTGTATCTGACAATATATATATATTCAGGTTGTTATATTTCCATACCTGTATTTCTACCTGTTTCATTGTTTATTTTTCAGCATGAATTATATATACGAGCTTTTCATATTCTCTCAGAATTCCCACCTGTAAGTACATTCTGCTGTTCTAGCGCTTTACATTATATGTAACCTGAAACCTTTCATATTTTGAGTGAAGTCCATCGTGACTAGCTGGTCAGCATTCATTTAACAAGATTATCTTTCGATTACTGGCCATTATTTGTCTTCAATTGATTGTATTATATTATGTCAACGATACATTCAACTCAATTCCATTTAATTTGTACTACAACGAACACAGAATGTATGTGATCCGATTTTAATATTATCCAGGTTGTCGATCTGGGTATAGAAAAGGATTTTTCGGATACTTTACGCAGTTTATTAGATGATCATAAAGATGTGGTTACTCTGTTGGCCGAGGGATTCGGAGAATGTCGAAGACATATTAACGTAAGTTTTATTTATCTCTGTTCTATAGTTTTTCATTTCTCTCCGATCTATAGTGAATGTTATCCATAAAGTTGTCATTTTATTATATATCCCGTTCGCTAAATTCCCTTCAAAGATACTATACGTCATCAATATGGAGATGTGGCAGTCAAACAGATCAATCAACTTGTTAAATCAGAAGAGAAGCATATAAGGGTTACCAACAATCTAACAAACTGTTAATTAGTTTATTGTTATCCACTTGTATATAACCTTCTATAACATGTTTGATTGTATCATTGCTTGATAACGGTGAGAATATCCTCATTGAAACGTTGCAGTTAATAAACCTAGTGAATGTCATCCATAAAGTTGTCATTTTATTATAGTTTTTCATTTATCTCTGATCTATAGTTTATATGTGTATAAATGGTTTATCAAATTGAAGTAAAAAATCTGTAAATAGACGAACAGCCTTCCCAGATTTCTCTCAGCTACTAGTTTCGTTCTTATTCGAACTCTTCAGGCTTAAATGAGGATGTGCGGTGGCCCTCTATATATAGTGTCGGTGGGCACCGGAGCACATGTGATCACGGATTATAATCCAACTGCTGTTCAAGTTAGCATGCTCATAAAAGAGAAATGGCATCTATTAACCGGATCGGACATGTGCCGTTCTATCTCCGTAAGGAAAGCCAATGAATTCAAATGGATTCACACTTTAAGAACATTCGCACCGGATGGCATTAACGATAGGATGTAGTCCCGAGGGGTCCCCCACTTTATTGTTTACTCTTATCATATTGAAACAAAAATATAACCATTTAAAAGCATTCAGCAGTTGGAATTCGATATAAGAGTAGGCCATATTGATGCTGCCTGGACAAAATTACCCTCATAGACAATTAATTTTAAATTCATCGTATCATTGTAAATATTTTAATTGTTTATCCCCCCCTGTTTTATTTTCAGGATGAGAATCTGATCAAAAGTTTTCTGGATAAAACGTTAACATCCCGTCTCGGTATACGAATGTTGGCCGAGCATCACCTAGCTTTACACACTGAAACAAGGGTAAGCACAGAATTATTTCTAATCATTTCATTGGTTAAAATATTAAACATTTAGTTGGTGATATCTCGTTATACGGTGGACATTGTTTAAATTTTTCATTATTCTTTAAAGAGGGTTTTAGAATTATATTTATTTTGTTTTTGACATTTTTAATCGAACAAAACAGAAAAATGTTTGGAAAAAATCCACTTTTATTTTTTTAAATTCAAATTCCATGACGTGGGTATAATATTATATTTTATTTCTGAGCAAAATGGTTTTCTTACCCTTTCCCTCATTAGTTTTGCAATTCCATAGAGTGGTTTTCAGATAATTTATTTTCCTACTGAACAAACCGCGAAGCTGTATGACCATTACCCTTTCAGTCCAGAACATCCAGTGACAAGATTTAACTATGTTTAGGGTTCATCAAGTGAGCTGATTGCATAAAGGAATAAAAGAAATGGTTGACACAAAATTAAAATTTCTCTGCCACCATGTCTGGGACAGCTGGAGACTAACACATGTTATAGTGAAACTAGAGAGGAAAATTTTGCCCAAACAGTGGCATTTCTTCATTAAATTCTGTCTTTACATTAATACTATCACCTGATAAGTCGAAACAGGATTGGAATATCTCACGATACTTCTGGGACCATGACACGATACTTCTGGGACCACAACATGGTTCAAACCTGGACCATTATAATCGTTCATCCAGCATCCCGACCACTTGATTATGAAGGCCCTGTTGTACAACCTGATTAAAACATAAATCCTATTTCGTTTCGTTTCTCATAGTTGAAAATTTTGTTTACTTGCCTTTAATACACTAGGATCTGGAAGAGTTGTTATATTACCGGCATTCTGGATGACGTGATGGATTTGCCAATGAAACGGTCTGTTATGGCGAGTCTTTGGCGCGAGTTGAACGGAACTGTGGGTAACCCACTAGAAACGTCAACGTTGATTGGATAATCATATGGCTGATGTCATAGGGTCAAAAGCCGCTCATAAGACCTCTGACTCGACCTTCTACTACAACCGGTCAGATCTTCATGTAGTAGAGACCATCAAAAGTATAAAAAAAAAACGAAACTAAATATAGATCTGTATTTTAATCCGATTGCTCTGTTTTACTACAGGAGATAGTCGATAGAAATGATGTATTTTGTGTCAACTTCCATTTAAACTTTGTTCCTTTATGATTGATAACAGGAATTTATCGAACAGCAATTAAAAAAAAACATAATTGATTATATTTTAATTATTTTGGGGGTGGAGCCAGTTTGAGGTCAGAGTTTATATAAATTAAGGTTGGGGATATGATAATAGGATATATTTGTGTATTGGTATATATTGTGGCACAATTTGCTAGCAACCCTGTATCTTTCACAGCCTAACTACGTGGGCATAGTAAATGTTGGATTCTCACCCCGAAAACTTATAGAAAAGAAGGCAGATTTTGTAAGGTAAGCTTCGGGTGTGTTCTCTCTCATTCTCAAACATGTATTTATATATATTAACCATTAATATACAGTCGGTGAAATCAGAATAAAAAAAAATATGTCAAATGAGATTGTTTATGAAATCATTTCAAAGTGACTAAAGGGAGGGAACTTTGATCCAATGTTACACGTGTCTTATCATCGTCATGGTTTCCAACGGCTAAAAACACCTGTCTAACCGTCGTTATGGTTTCCAACTGATAAACACACCTGTCTAATCATTGTCACGGTTTCCCACTTATAAACACACCTGTCTAACCATCGTCATGGTTTCCTACTGATAAACACACCTGTCTAACCGTCGTCATGGTTTCCAACTGATAAACACACCTGTCTAATCGTCGTCATGGTTTCCAACTGATAAACGCACCTGATACCATTCATAGAAATAAATATACAGCATACCTCCGTTTGGGTGTTCTGTTAAATGAAATGGGGTTCAACATTCTACTAGGCCAGTGGTTCTCAACCTTTTTTGCCAACGGCACACCTTGAAACACATGAAAACATAGCGGCACACCTGGCTAAATACATATGAAAAATATTTGAATTTTGCAAAATAAAAACATGGTCAGTCAGACGGAATACAACCGTAGACAGAGACTAGTCATAGACACATAGAAAAAAGAAAAACACAGCTTTTCAGTAGACACCAGTGAATCACATGGTTTTTCTCATTTTCTTAGTGTGTCATTCAAAATTCTGTGGCACACTTAGGAAGATCTCGTGGCACACCTGGTTAATGAATCACTGTAACATGCTAATAAAGACGGGAAGTGTGACATGAGTGCAAATTTATCATTTCCATCTACTCTTCGGTCGAATGATCTCTTGCGTACACACCAACGAGTACAGAGACAGACAAACTACATCACTGACATGAGGAATCACATGTTCCTGAAGCAACGACTGCAACTTTCACAACATCTGGACGTTGCTTGCTTACTTCACAATTCCCAAACTTATAGCTATGTTATCTACAGACACGTGAGCAATAGCATCCAATCAGAGATTGTTACATCGCGACCTCCATGGAAACCTTGACATTGAATGAACCTTGAATTTTGCAACTCGATTATCACAGGTAGACATTTTAGCTTAAAAGCGCGAGACTTAGTATTCGCGACATCCGAAAAATCTGATAGGCTCACAAGCTGGGCTTGTACCCAATCGAAATTAGTGCCAAAATATGCAGGGTATTATGTGAAGGCCTTGATGTATGTAATTAAAGCGAGATCAAGCCTTCTATTGAAGTTGGAGGAATCCAAAAGCCTGCTGTAGCGCAGGAATCTCATCTCTCAACACTGTGTGCGTTACTTACCGTCGATTTTTAACAAGCTTATGAACATTGAAGAACGATACTGTTGTGATACCTTTTTGTTGCTGACACACGTCTTGCGCTACATCACACACTGACAGCTACACAAATACCTCCACTAGATGGCGCAGTCTTAGACGTAGTAATCCAGGTTTAAAATTAATCTTTAGAGCTTTTTTTTTAACAAAATCTTGGTGTTGGAATCACATCTCTATAGTTATTAATTTCTCCCCTGCTCCCCATATTTTACAAATTATACTATTAAAATATTTAAATTGAAATGTTTATTTTTTTCCCATTCATTTGAATATGGACAATATGTTTTGCATTTATGAATAAATTGTTTAAATGTTTATTTTGGTTATGTTATGTTGGAAGTGTATGTATAGAAGGTTTGTCTTTGTTTTCATCTTGTAGGAATGTTTGCCAGGCTAAATATGGTTTCTCACCAGATGTCAAACTGAACGGTCACGTCAACGCCACGTTTCCTTATATAGCGCCACCTTTAGATTACATATTGACAGAATTACTGAAAAACGCTTTAAGGTGGGTACTAGGAAATTCTTGAGACAAGGCATAACCCTATCAAATACAATAACTGAACAAGGCTTCAACTAGGTTGTACATGACAAAGAGTAGGGTCACTGCTAAAGACTCCTACGCGCAAGCGAATTATTGAAATAAAATTGAACAATATGTTAGTCCCGAAATGACCTAGGTTGGATATTAAACCCCATCTCTCTCTCTCTCTCTCTCTCTCTCTCTTTCTCTCTCTCACTCTCTCTCTCTCTCTCTCTCTCTAAACAATGTTACATATTTTTATTTTATATTTAATACAGATCTACAGTAGAGTCTAATTTAGAAAGTTTACAGAACATGCCAGCTGTTTATGTTACCATAGCGGTTAACGAAGAAGACTTTGTTATCAGGTACTTACTATATATGTCTTTATTGTATAGTCTTGGTTATCAAGTATATACCCGTATATGTGATTATTGTATTGTCTTGGTGGTCAATTACATACGATATATGTCTTTATTGTATAGTCTTGGTTGTCAAGTACATAGCATATATGACTATATTTATTGTATAGTCTTGGTTGTCAAGTTTGTACTATATATGACTTTATTGTATAGTCATGGTTGTCAAGTATGTACCCATATATGACTATATTTATTGTATAGTCTTGGTTGTCAAGTATGTACATTATAATACTTAACAGACAGCATTTGTCATCCAATCTCTTGTGTTGTTTACACTAATGCAACAATTTCAACAATATACATTTATTACTTCAAGAGTTATGGCCCTTGTTTCACTTTGTAGTATCTTCTGAACAAGATATAAATATAAAATGTAAATACTCGCGTTACCCACAAAATATCAGCATGCGACTAACTCTTAACGACTGCTCGGATGACGTAGCTGCTGAAGGTGTATGATTCATTGCAGACTAAACCTGCCTCTTTCTTTTTAGGAAAAACATTGATAATTAACTCTCTAAGTAAATTTGAAAGATTAAATTCTACCAGTAAACATGAAATGAAATGAGGTTTAACGTTCTACATTTCGTTGCTGTTATGATTTTCTTTCCGTGGGGGGGGGGGATGCGCTGTATCATAAGGTCTGTCATTGAGTCAACTGGCGTGGTTACGAATCCCCGGTTGTACGTGACAAGGAGTAGGGTCGCCTATCCAACCTTGTGTTTTTTCTCCGGGTCCTCCGGTTTCCTCCCACTGCTAAAGACCCCTACGCGTAAGCGAATTATTGAAATAAAATTAAACCATATGTTAGTCCTGAAATGACCTAGTTTGTGTCGAGTGACCGTTAAACCCCATCTCATCTCTCTCTCTCTCTCTCTCTATTTGTGTCGAGTGACCGTTAAACCCCATCTCTCTCTCTCTCTCTTTCCTCCCACTGCTAAAGACCCCTACACACAAGCGAATTATGTAAATAAAATTCAACCATCATATGTTAGTCCCGAAATGACCTAGTTTGTGTCGAATGGACGTTAAACCCCATTTCTCTCTCGCTCTTTTTCTTTCCGTGATCAAAACTACAGACGATAGATCAGGTTTTATTCTTCTAACAACCCAAGGCAATTGGTAATCACAACTCTCCCCCGTTCTCAAAAATAGTATCTGGCTTGTTATAGCTGTTATGATGATCTGCGTGAGTTCTACTGAATTCTATCCCCACTCTCTCTGTTATAGGTACCTACCTCTAATTGATTTACATAATAGACTGGTAACAGCTAAATTTCAAATACAGAATTGACATGCCCTGGATATCGACAGGGATTGTTACCTAAGTTGGTCAACAAAGAACAGCTGTTTAGTCGTATGCCCGTCTCCATTAGCCCAGTTAGGAGCAGAACAGTAGGACGTTCAACCCAGTGATGGGATTTTGCCCATATATTCCGGACTTGTCCGAATCTTTTTTCCAAACGCCCAAAATTGTCCGACAGGGAATATGCCCAATCGGACATCAAGACATGGTGAATAATGTTCAAAATTCCGAAATTAATATAGTTACTGAGTGTATAACTACCACTCAACCAGATTATCGTCGATAATACGCTGGATTGATTAGGTAATTAAGTGATCAACGTATTTATCGTGTTATGCGGTCTATAAACCTACCTTGATTAACTACTTAATCTGCCTTGATTGACTGACTTAATCCTTTGTCGGACAATTCATCAATCTAATCTTAAACAAAAGCCATTGTTTCCCCTTTGTCGAACTATTCATCAATCCATTATAATTTTAATCTTCGTGTTAACCTCGTGGTTTCTGCATTGTCGGACATTTTAATCGCATTGATGTGAGCCGACAATATGTATAAACTAGTCATAGAAGTCACATATTGTAAGAGTATATAACGCCCAGATCAATAGACAGTCATTATAATTCGTCTGCTATATCACTTCGGTGGAAGCTATTTCACACACACGCATATTCGAAAAATACTAGACATTGCTAGCACGCGTTTACAGCTCTCGGGAAACCTCGGCAGATTCCGTTACTCTACATCTAGCTTCGGCTGTATGACGGTAAGTGATATGTACCTACGAACTTGCCGGTTTTAGAAAGAAGTTATCAAAATTAGGTCGTTCGAAGCGTGTTTAGAATTTTCAGAGCAAAGTTGTCCTTGTTTGAAGAAAATCTGATTAGGTACATATCACTTACTGTCATACAGCCGAGGCTAGATGTAGAGTAACGGAATCTGCCGAGGTTTGTCGAGTGCTGAACCGGTGTTAGAAATCTCGCGAGACGCGTGAAATTATGAAATGAATACGTGACTAAATTCATGCTTCTAATGTCGAACAAAAGATTCTATTTTGATGGCATATTCTCGGATTTATGATCATATTTTGAATGGGGTTTATGTTTTTAAATAAAGAAATAAGTAATCTAGGCAATGTTGACGAATATGTCGATTGAAATAGTGTAAGTACTTAATTGTTTTAGGCGACAGCACGTGCTACAAGTAGAATGTGATTATTTAGTGGATGGTGTCATTCCTCGTTGTGGTATAGCGACGTTTATTGCCCAAAAAATTTCGGGATATCATATTCTTACCCTCTGTACATAAGTCGTAACGGTGTATAAGACGAACGCCGGACTTCTGCTGAAAAATGTAGCGACTTATGACCCGAAAATACGGTAATTTTGGAGGAATTTGAAACAGTACAGATAGGCAGTAGTCGGCACGCTTTCATTCTATCGTATTACGAATTTTGTAGGAATATTACTGACATAAATTTGAATACCGTACGGGAATTAAATATGAAAAATAACGAGGTGCACCTATTTTCATATTACGGACGAATTTGAATATTTTGTTTGCATGTGATTTTTGTGTAAGAGTTATGTCCCTTTATTTTCGGTAAACATGTCCGACAAGAAAATTTTTGAAATCCCATCACTGGTTCAACCCCATTTCATTTCATTTCATTTACAGTCTGTCAAATATGGACTTTAAACTTTTTAAATGAAAATAATTTAATTAAACTGGAAAGGGAACTTTTTTTGTCAGATTTCTGATTTACAAAAACATGAAATATTTCACAATTTACATAAAATAATTGACAATATATTTATACGAGTTTAATCATCGGCAATATATTTATCATATCATTTACAGATAAATTAAAACACCTGGTCCCAAATTCATAGAGCATTCTCAGATTTAAGTTAAAAATTTACTCAAAATTGTTCGCCTTATTTTAACTAAAATATAGCCCTTTATAAAACTTTTGTTGATTTAATGTACTAAATATATCAATAAGAAACTATGTGTAAAGTTTTGTGTTTCTGGATAAAAGATATTTCTCATAAACAGTGATTGAAAGTTCAGTAAATTCTTAATTTAAGTCTGTTGTCTCGAGAAACCTCGCTATATGTTTGATGCAATATAGCTCGGTTGGAGTTGACGTGCCATTAAATAACATTTCATTCATTCACTTAACTTGGAGGTCGGGTGTTCGATCCCTGCATTGGCCGAGAAAGTTCATCCAGATTTTCCGGCGTGGTTCTCCCTTGTCAGTGATGCAGGACGGAGGGGCTGGCAAGGAAAGCTGTCTAGTCGTTCGGAAGGGACGAAAAACCGAGGTCCCGTGTACACATTGGCGTGCACGTAAAAGATCCCTTGGCAGTTGGAATTCGATATAAGAGTAGGCCGTAGTGCCGCTGTCCGGGCAAAATTTCCCTCATAGCACACTGTATGGCGTATGCCCGTCTTCATTAGCCCAGGTTAGGAGTAGAACAGTAGGACGTTAAACCCCATTTCATTTAATTTTTCATTTCTTACAAATTAGATTTTGCCTTTTGATAAATAAATAGCCAATTGAATCATATAAATGACGTTTAGTTTAAAATTTCAAAACTTAAAAGAGCTAAATCGCTAACATTTGGGACCTAGAAATTGACACAAGTGGGTCGCAACACATATAATACTGTAATATGAATGTATATAAACTGATATACATTCAATGGTTTCCGTTTTTACTCTAATTTCAAATCAGTTATGTTCCGCGAAATAAGCCAGCAGTCTCAATCGAATGCAAATTTCTAGAGCCTGGTTATTCCAGTCTACATATGCCGTTTGGTTTGGTGCAATATGTCTAGCCTCGTTCCTCGAGTCTCTTGCTAGAACTGGGGCTGAAAAGCATTATGGTACACGATTCGTGTATCAATGTTAAAATGTTTATTTTGTCTTAAATATTGGATATCAGAAGCCCATCTTTTTCTGTTAAGATCACAGCATCAATGTTGATTTAAATTGGCAAATAATTTGTGTTTTCAATGTTGAAGATTTTGGATGATATTGAGTTAGAGACTTAGCTACTTTAAACATAGGGAGCTGAAAGCTTTTGAACAGCACAACCAACTATTTTCTGGTTTTTAATTAGTCTTTTTCTCAAAGAAATAAAAGAAAATTTGAACAGGATATTTTTTTAAATTTCACATTAATTATCTTGTTTTAAACAATAAATAACATTATATTTCCAATCACAAAATGCCACTAAAGGAATAATAAATAAAATAAAATAGGGCCACATTTGTAACCGTTCTTGTGAACGATGAAGGCCATGTTTTTGTCTGGAGCTTCCTGGGAATTCTTCCTCAAAAATAATCGTCCGTCGAAGAATTATATCCACACGAATTATCGCTGGCATTAGAAATCTCCCAACAGACGCGTTCATTATACACAGAAACATCGTCACTTTGTCTTAAAGAGTTCCATCGAGCACGGTTTATCGGAGGGAGGGTGACAGGTGTTATATCAGCCAGTCGTGGGCTGTTGTAACTATTGTTTGTACCCGTTTCGTGAACTGATCCCAACTGACTAGAGCTTGATCTACGACTGGTTAAAGCGCGTGGTGTCGTAATCGAGGGTAACACGTTAAATGTCTTTGATGAAA